CCTGATGTGATGTGTATGTATTATTGGCAGCTTTTTTTCTCTCTTCATTCATGTTGAATTTTTTGTGAAAGTGATATGTGATGCTGCGTAGTGGAACCAGGCTCTCGTCAATTTTTAGGCATGTAGAGTTACTTGTATCATCTTAAAGCTTGTTCATTTGTCTTTATTTGGATGAAAAAAATATCCATTTACCTTGAATACAAGTCGAGATATTTGCGAAAGAAGGAGGTGGGGTCACCTGTTTTCAGAGATAAAATTAGTGAGAAAATGGCGGCCAAAGATTAGTTATTTCCTTAGCTTAAGAGTCCGTGGTAACTGAACATTTACATTCTTTGTGCCTTTAATCAACGTTTTTCAGAAAAATCCACACAGAAATGAGTTCTTTAATGGGCATGAAAGGTGTTGAGCAAAAAAAACAAAAAATTAATAAAAATTCAGAAACCTGCGGTAAAATGCTAAGTTTCTTCACTTTGATTATTTTGCCGAGAGCCTGATTCCAGCACGCTGCCTATATACCCTTACAGAGACGTAGCAAGAGCTCACATATACCCTTACAAAGACGTAGCAAGAGCTCACATATACCCTTACAAAGACGTAGCAAGAGCTCACATATACCCTTACAAAGACGTAGCAAGAGCTCACATATACCCTTACAAAGATGTAGCAAGAGCTCACATATACCCTTACAAAGACGTAGCAAGAGCTCACATATACCCTTACAAAGACGTAGCAAGAGCTCACATATACCCTTACAAAGACGTAGCAAGAGCTCACACATACACTTACAAAGACGTAGCAAGAGCTCACATATACCCTTACAAAAACGTAGCAAGAGCTCACACATACACTTACAAAGACGTAGCAAGAGCTTTCGGAAAATGGCCGCCTCAGAAATACAAAGTTCTATCTGACATTTTGGGCAGTTTTAAGTTACTGAGACCATGAGGTTCTAAAACCAAATCCATGGAATCATCTGTTCTAATATGCTCTATCAAAATCGTACGATATTTTGGAGTTGTTATCGAGATATTCAAGGAATAACATTTGATAAAGCTTGACATATTGTGAAACTCAAACATTTTTATCGCCAAATTTTTCCAAACAGGGTACTGAGCGAATAAAACTTTCTGCATGTCTTTCTGGGGTCGCGAAATCCCTTGTCCTTTCTAAAGTTGTTCGTTATTAATTGTTCTTTCTAAAGTTGTTCGTTATTATTTGTTCTTTCTAAAGTTGTTCGTTACTAAAGTTGTTCGTTATTATTTGTTCTTTCTAAAGTTGTTCGTTATTATTTGTTCTTTCTAAAGTTGTTCGTTACTAAAGTTGTTCGTTATTATTTGTTCTTTCTAAAGTTGTTCGTTATTATTTGTTCTTTCTAAAGTTGTTTGTTATTATTTGTTTACTCCTTGACTCCTCCTTACTGCTGTCTTTCTGCCACACCCCTGATCTTCTGGTAGGAAAGATCTACACCTAGCCTTCTCGGAAAAGGGCGAAAAATCTCGGAGGGCCCGTGTGCAAGTTGCGCACATTAAAGATCCCTTGGTGGTCTAAAATCGATAAGAGTAGGCTTCGGCCGCCACCTGGGCAAAATTCAAAATTTCCTACCAACGAAAAAGTATTAGGTGTGTCCCGCGCGCTCATATGACCTTATGCAGCTGCGAGCGCCGTAAAACCCTATACTAAACAAACAAACAAACAAACAATATTATTTGTTCTTTCTAAAGTTGTTCGTTATTATTTGTTCTTACCAAAGTTGATCGTTATTAATTGTTCTTTCTAAAGTTGATTGTTATTATTTGTTCTTTCTAAAGTTGATAGTTGATTGTTATTATTTGTTCTTTCTAAAGTTGATAGTTGATTGTTATTTTTTGTTTTTTCCAAAGTTAATCGTTATTATTTGTTCTAAGGTAGGCTGTTTGTAATTATTTGTTATTATTGTTCTTAGGTAGGCTGTTTCTTATTACATGTACTTGTTATTATTTGTTCTCTCTAAAGTTGATAATTGATTTTTATTATTTGCTCTTTCCAAATTAATCATTATTATTTGTTCTAAAGTAGGCTGTCTGTAATTATTTGTTATTAATTGTGTCAGAGGTAAAATTAGCAAGAAAATGGCCGCCAAAGCTTGGTGACTTCCTGGGATTGAGTATACTTGAAAACTGCACATATTTACATTTTATTATGCCTCCCTCTGATCAACTTTTTTTCCCTTCTGTATAATCCTCAAAGAAATGTGATTTTATAGTGACAGAAAGACCGTTGAGCCGTTGAGCGCACCCCCCCCTCCCACCCCACCCCAACCCACACCCCCCAACCAAAAAAAGGAAAATTCAGAAAAAATTGCCCCACTGTCAGAAAAATGTGGGTTTCTTTGATTATTTTATTTTGACGAGCAGCTGATTTCATCACGATGCCTCAGAAGCTCTGAATCTGTCACATGTAAAGAAAACAACAACAACAACAACTACTACAACTAATTTATCTAATAGCTGAAACCATCAATAAAGTACTTCTTATGATATAATCTTGTCATTCTTCATTTACTGATAGGCTAAACATGAATTTGCTAATCAAGCAAACAAACAGACGAACAAAAACCCCTCAAAGAAATGAAGAAACAAACAAAAAGGACAAACAAACCAACAAACACACACACACACACACGTACACACAAATACACAGGCACACACAAACAAACAAAAGAAAAGAACACCCCCCCCCCCCCAAAACAGCAGAACACACGGACTGACTGAATCAAACAAAACTGGTAGCGTCATGAATTCAGGGGAAACAACCCGTACCGGTCTATTGTGTATCTGTTTTTCAGCAGTTGTGTCCCCTGTTTTGCCTTCCTGCACCGATAGTTCAGTACATATTCTTCCCTGGACTGTGCAGCATTG